TGGAAGAGCGTAGTTGATGTCACTGAACTGTGCATGTAGAAATTTTTGAAATGCTGTATCTTTGGCTATGTATATTTTCACCAAAAAAAAAAAAAAAGGTTGAGAAGGGAGAGGGTTTACATGTCATGGGGTTGTTAACCAATGTCATAAAATATGTGTACTACTGTTTCATGAGAAACTATTTGTTCCGTAAACCTTCAACTGAAGTACAATTTAAAAAAAAAAAGGCCTTATATTTCAGGTGTTTTCTCCGAGGGTCTTGAAAAATTAACATTTTCACAATGAAACTAGATTACTTATTTGTCTTCTTATACTTAATTGTAAAATTTTAGAAATAACATAACTTCCCATAAGTTATCCAGGATTTTGACTAAATTCAGGATCTGAATCCTGCTGGTCTGGGGACAAGTTTGAGAACCACTAGATTAGTTAATCCAACCATGCTGCCTTGTTCCTACACAGGCCAAACAATTCTCCCAGTTTCCAGAGCTCTGTCAGAACATCTGAGGACAACCCACTGTCTTCAGTTAACTGCAAGTCGGTCACTGATGGAGTCACAATTCAGAACGTCTGACTCGTAGGCCAATTTGGCCGTAGGGGTAAGCAGAATTTATGCATTCATTTAGCAAACATTTATCAAACATCTGCTATGTGTTAGGCACTATGGATTCAAAGATGATTAAGCCTAGTGAGATGGTTGGTCCTGTGTGTGGGCAGGGTTTTCTGAAGGAGAGCAGCAGCTTTACCAAGTGCTAGAGAACAGTTCCTCTGGAGATGTGTGTGTGTGTGTATAAGATCTGCTACAGTCCCCTTTCCCTTGTCAGTTTAGCTGGCCTCCTTTCTGGTCCTGCCCTTGAACCCTCTTTGTCTTCCTTTGATACTAATCAATTTTCAAAACAAGTGTATTGTTTTCACTAGTAGCTATTTTTTTTCGGGGGGTGGGGAGGAGAGCAAAGTGAAACAAGTATCTTTCTATAAATCTTTAAACAACTTTTCTTACAAAACCTGTCAGAGTTAATATAGTCATATGCCACATAACATCCGTTGGGGCAATGTCCGACCACATACACATCCGTGGTCCCATAAGTTCAGGAATCCCGACTGGAGAATGGGACATAGCAGATGTAATGGGACATATCAGTGTAACTGGACGCAGCAAACAAACAGCTTCCTGCATGCAACATGTGTATCTCATGTCTCTTGTATACAAAGTGATTGTGCTGCCAGGTGTATAATGGTACAGTACACAAAAAACATTAAAGAAACACTTCCAGATACACTAAAACATCTTTAACATAATATAGGAATAATAATAACTGTTATGATGAGCATTGCAAAGTAGTGTCCTTTTATTATTATAAACCATTGCATGTACCCCGAATTTGTAATAGGCTTTACAGAGATTAGTTTGTAACTACAGGTTGTACGTAAGTTGGATGTTTGTAACCCAGGGACCGCCTGCACATAATCTGATGTTCGCACAACATACAAATCACGTAACATCCTATTTCACAGAACTTATCGTGGACACTAAGTGGTTAATGACTATACTTATTTAAAATATTCATGTGTTCACCAGTCTTTACAATCAAGTTCCTCAGCCCAGTCATTTCACCTACTTAATGTTCCTTCTGCTTTTCAGTGTAAGGAAACACCTTTTACTGGAGGCTGAACATTTTTAATGTCAGGGAAAGCCAGAGTCCAGGTTGAAACCCACAAATACTATGGCAACCTATTTAGTGCTCTTGACACATTACCACCTTAATGAAGATACCCTCACTAATGTCAGAGGCAAACAGCTATTTATTAACTCAGCCTCACCTGGGCTAGAATGTCTAACAGGAGTAACTGCCCTTAATTATACTGCAAAATGGAAGTCATGGTTTAAGTGTTACATCTTCATTAGAAACTTGCGATGAAGTGTAGTTTTTAAAGGAGCTTGGAGAGGCCTACTAGGAATAGTACTGCTTTCCTGCCATGCCACCCTCTAAGCAGAGTACTTCCTTTTGAAAATAAGTTTAATACATATTTGTGCCCAGATTTAATTATATGCGTAGCCAACAACACTCAGTCACAAAGAAATTTACTGAAGCAGATTCAGTATCCTAACTTGGAGTAATCGAGACTCAGCATATAGCATACATATCTATTCTCAAATACTTCAAAATCTGCTGTCTCTGAACTAGTCATTTTGTTCTTTCAACTTCTTGTTTTGCTCTCATACCACAGTGTTTTACTAATCTTTTAAAACGGCATTTCTGTTTATAAAAAGCACTGTGGAAAAATTTTCTAGTCACAAGAGAACTTTAAAATTTTGCCATTGGAGCTTTTTGTTCACGTACCTGAACAGTGTTAATGAGAAATAAGAGAAAGCCTGCATTTGCCTTTAGAAAAAAGCTAGAGTGACTGTGAAGGTTTTGAAGGAGGTATTTACACACAGAATTTCAGGTGTTCAGTCTCATCACCTGCGGGTGTATGAAGCTGCAGTCAGCCCGCCTTGCAGCTGGAATTCCCCCGGAACGAGGTTGGGAACTCACTGCCTGGCGCTCCAGCAGAAGGGAGCTGAGAGGGAGGGAAAGAGCAGCTCTTTTCTCCTCCAGCCTTCAATTCTGACTGGCC